CATTAAAAGAATAAATACTCGCATTATGGAAATCCCAGCAGGAGAAGACAGATAAGGGGGCAGCAAGCTTATTTAAAGAAATAATAGCTGAAAACCTCTGAAATATTGTAAGGAATATGGACATCAAGATATGTGAGGCTCAAAGGACCCAAAGCAATATCAACCAAAAGAAGATTATAATAAGATATATTATAATCAAATTGCTGAAAGGCAAAGGCAAAGAGAGAATTTTGAAACCAGCAAGAGAAAAGCCGAAACACTGTAGTGTAGACAGGAGTGGGGTGATATATTCAAAGTGCTCAAAGAAAAAAGCTGCCAACTGAGAATACTATATCTAGCAAAGCTGTCCTTCAGAAATGGAGAGATAAAGATTTTTCCTGGACAAACAAAAGTTGAGGGTTTTCAGCACCACTAGATATGCCTTACAAGAAATGTTAAAGAGACTTCTTCAAATTGAAATAAAAGGAAATGAAACATATGAACGTATAAAACTCAATGGTAAAAGCAAATATACAGTCAAATTCAGAACAGTATGATACTGTAATGGTTGTGCATAAGTCAGTTTGAACTCTAGAATAAAAAACAAAAACATTAAAATAACTACAGGCATACCTCAACGATATTGTGGGTTTGCTTCAAACCACTGCACTAAAGTGAATATTGTAATAAAGTGAGAAATATGAATATTTTGATTTTCTACAGCATACAAATTTGTTTGCACTATAGTTTACTAAGTGTGCCACAGCATTATGTCTAAAAAAGCAATGCATATGCCTTAATTAAAAAGTACTTTATGGGGCCAGCCTGGTGGCACAGTGGTTAAGTGCGCACGTTCCACTTCAGCGGCCCAGGGTTCACCGGTTCAGATCCCGGGTGCAGACATGGCATAGCTTGGCAAACCATGCTGTGGTAGGCGTCCCACATACAAAGTAGAGGAAGATGGGCACAGATGTTAGCTCAGGGCCAGTCCTCCTCAGCATAAAGAGAAGGATTGGCGACAGATGTTAGCTCAGGGCTAATCTTCCTCAAAAAAAAAAAAAAAGTACTTTATTGCTAAAGAAATGCTAACCATCATCTGAGGCTTCAGAAAGTCACAATCTTTTTAGCTGGTGGAAGGTCTTATAAAAACACACTATCTGCAAAGGGCAATAAAATGAAGTATGCTCACATAGGTACAATAATTTGTTAATGGACATATAATACAAAAAGATGTAAAAGATATCATTAGCATAAAATATGTCAGGGGAGAGAAGGAAGAGTGTAGAGTTTTTGTATACAATTGAAGTTAAATTGTTATCAGTTTAAAAAGACACTGTTAAAACAGTAAGATGTTTTATGTAAACCTCATGATGAACACAACAACTTCTAGTAGATAAATAAAAGTTAAAGAGAACAGAATCAAAGCATACTACTGCAAAGAATCAACGAATCACAAAGGAAGACAGAAAGGCAGACAGGAACAAAAAATACAAAACAATCAGAAATCAGAATAACGAAATGGCAATAATAAGTTCTTATCTATCAGTAATTACTTTAAATGCAAGTGGATTAAATTCTCCCATCAAAATACACAGTGTGGCTAAATGGATTAAAAAAACAGGATTCAATAATATGCTGCCTACAAGAGACTTACTTTAGAACACACATAGGCTGAAAGTGAAGAGGTAGAAAAAGATAGCCATGCTAATGGTAACCAAAAGAGAGCAGAGTTTGCTATACTTATATCAAACAAAGTAGACTTTCAGTCAAAATTGGTCACAAGACACAAAGAAGGCCCCTACAGAATGAGAAAAGGGGCAATTCATCAAGAGGTATAAGAATCATAAATATATATGCACCCATCATTGGAGTACCTAAATATATAAAACAAATATTAACAGAACTGAAGGGAAAATGTACAGTAACGCATTAACAGTAGGGAACTTCAATACTCCATTTTCACCAATGGATATATGATTCAGACAGAAAATCGAAAAGGAAATAGCAGACTTAAATAACATAATAGACCAAATGGACATAACAGACATATACAGAACAGTCTATCCAACAGCAGCAGAATACATATTCTCTTGTATTGAGAACCTTGCGTTTAAGAGAACCAAAGTTTTTATACACATTATGTCTTACATCCTATTCTATAACCCTCCCATCCCATGACAGCTATGATTGTCAAAGTGATCTCTGTCACTCCAAGTTATAAGGTAAATTTAGTCCAGGAAATAAGGTAAATGGTAACCAAAGCATAAAGGGAAGCTGCAAAATTCCCCTGAATTGAATATTTATTTTAAATTGTCAGTGTTAAACATATCAAAGGGAGTTTTCAGGCAAAAGCCTAATATAGTCAAGCAAGAAAAAGACTTCTGAACAATTTAGTCACATTATCCCTTTACTGTATTACTTTTTCTCCAAAAGAGGATAGAAAAAGTCACTATGCAATGAATCTGTAGTAACTTATATACAGTAACGTACCTAACAGTACCCTAGAGACCATTCTGATATTAGGCCATTTCATTGTGGTAGGGAGGGGGGATCCTGGGGGAAAAATGTTTTAGTTTATAACTTTCAAAGATAATCTCATTTCCATGAGAACATTTCTATGAAATCAATCTCATTTTCAGAGAAAAGAACAAAGTAATTGTACAAACCTCATGTTTCATTTTTTACTAAATAAGAGGGGCTATCAAACAAGTTACTCAAACTATTTTCCAACTAAGTTTATTTTCAGAGTTGCCTGGTATACCGTACATTCGATTCACTCATTCACTTTTTTTTTTAACTTTACTGAGCTGGGTGCGGGAGATATCGTATTGAACAAAACCTAAAATGTTTCTACCCTTCAAGAGCTCTTTCTAACACCCTCAATTTGTCTCAGGGTTGGTTCCTATGTTGCTCCTGTGTATCTCCATCATAGCACTTATCACTAATTGTTCAGTTCCTCAGTAGATTACTCCTTGAAGACAGTGAACATATTTTCAGCAGCTTTATGTCCTCACTAACAAGCTCCATCTAACAAATAATAGATTACCCAAAAGGTATGGTGAATAAACCAACAAACAAATAAACAAACAAAGGAGCCTACAGTCTAGCACATACAAAAACACATAGATACAAGCAGAGCATTAAAATGTAAGATGAGCTGCGATAATAGTATTCATAGGGTACACAAGTAGCACAAAGGAGTCAGTACATTAACTCCATTAGGGATGAAAGTGGTAAGAAAGGCTTCACTCAGCACAGGATGCTTAAATTGAATCATGAAGGATGGTTAGAAGCTGGTCAGGAGCAGTAACAGGGAAAAAATGATTTTAAGTACAGAGAGAGAGTCATGAGCAAAGTCAGAGAGGTATAAAAATGCATGCTATGATTATAAAACAGCAAATAGGTTGGTATGACTGAAGCATGGGGTGACACAGAAATCATCCTGGAATATGATTCTAGAAAGGGTAGACGGGGAGTAAGTGAAGGAGTTGGGGAGGAAGCAGACAGATACACATGTCAGGCTAGAGTGTGAACCTAATCCTGTAGGTCATGAGGAATTCCTACAAAGGTGAGAAGAGTAAAGTTAAAATTTTATTTTAGAAAAATAACTCCAGGGGGCATACAGAATGGAATGAGGACAAAGAAAGGATAGATGGGAAAGCACAGTTAGAGGTCAGAGACTATTTCAGTACTCCAAGTCAAATATGACTACAATGTGAATGAAAGCAGCCACAGTGGGAAGAGAGAGCTTCGAAGAAAAAAGCTGGGAAAAAAAAATCAATAAAATTTTGTCAACAATTAGATTTAGGGAGACACTTACGAATGCACACTGTCCTCATCTGTTAAATGGGAATAATTAATACTTACCTCAGAGAAACATTGTGACAACTACCTGAGATAAGGCATATAAAACAATAATACAATGACTGCCAGAGAGTAAGAATTCTAAACATGGCAGTCATTGTTTTGTTGATGCTCAAGCTGATCACATTTGAATCTTGGCTTGAATACTTACTCCCTGTCTCACCTTGATGAAGTTACTTAACCTCTCTCTACCTCACTTTTCTCCAATGTACAAATGGTGTATGCTTCCTAGTATCTCAATAGGTAAGTACTATTTTGAATTTTACAGATGTTATAACGTATTTGTAAAGTGTTTACAAGAATTCAGACCAATGCCTGAAACTTCATTTTTAAGAAAAAATAGTTATTAATAGAAAATAAGACGTTAAAATGATTCTCTGATTTCTGGATTAATGACTGGTGGTGTCATTCACTGAGAAGAAGAGGTCCTTTTAGAAAGCCAATCATGATGACTATTCTCCCTCAAATTCTTTCAGATAATTAAGTGTTCTTCTAAGTGTTCTGAAAGTACACTAGACATATTACAATACTCACCATGGTATATCTTAACTGTCTATTTTCATGTCTATTATCCTCAGTAGATACTGACGATATCTGACTGTGAGCAAAGAAATGTGTCTTTATTCCCAGTAACCGGGACATATCTGGTATATAAATAGGCTCAATACATGTTAGTTAAATACTTAAACCTAAATTAAAGGAGATATGGGTACCTTTAACAAGTCCAGAGAATACTGGGAAAGAAGAGCATTTCCAAAAGATTTTACCTGCTACTCCCCTAATGGCCTTAAAATTTCAAGTAGAATGTAAAAACTAATATGTTATACTACTCTTTCCTAACTAATCCTCACTAATAGAAAGTGTAGAAACACAAATCTGTAAAGAAAATAGTAGAGAATAAAATAAGTAATATAAACAAATAAAAAATAAAAATAAAACAAATAAAAAATATAAACAAATAAAAACAAATGATTCAAAGGTTTCCACCTTTCCCTTTCACCATGACTGTACAGCTCCAGCAGCGCCATGCTGTGAAGGGCTAATGCTAAGACTTTCAAAGTCAGAGCTGAAGGGGATATTGAAAGGTTTTCAGAATTTTTTTGTATATAGAGTCACAATCTCAGGATCTGTTACATTTCCACTGTTTCATACTATACCTTAGATGAAGATCTTCTGAAAACTTCAGACAGGCGTAGATAAATTCTTTAATTTGGTTGTAAACTTTTGGCACAAATTCAGAGAAAGGAAACTTTTTTGGAAATGGTTGCTGTAAATCCAAGAATTAAAGAAAGCAAGTCACAAACCAACATACACTGAAGATACTTATAAATTAATTAAAATGCAAAAGGAATTTTCTTCCACATTGTAAACTATCTGCTTAACAACCTCAAATTTAAGAAGGTACCTCCAAAGATTTCTTGATACAAAAAGAATGCTATAAATTTAAATAAACAGTAACTCAAATATCCTTCAACTCATGAAAAGATAGCTATAGTACATATTCAGCAATAAAAAGGAATGAACTATTGATACATGTAACAACTTGGGTGAAATTCAAAAGCATTAGGCAGAGTGAAAGAAGCCAGTCTCAAAGGTTTTATATACTGTATGATTCCATTTATATGGCGTTCTGGAAAAGGCAAAAGTAGATGGATAGCAACCAGACTGGTGGTAGCCAAAGGCTGGGGTGGGGGGGATTGATTAAAAAGGAGCAGCATGAGGGAATTTTGGAGAATGATGGAACTGTTCTGTATCATTATTGTAGTAGTAGGTACATGACTCAATGCATTGTCAAAAGCAATAAAATTATATCGCACACAGGGTAAACCTTACTATATGTTTTGGGGAGAAAATGTTCTAAGAGTATAATAAAAGCAAGTATTTCAAAGTATAAACTAAACTGGAACACTCCCAGCAAACTCCGAAACACTCAGAGGTGAGAGGACCCCAAAGCCATCTACTGATTCCCAAAACAGGAACTTCTATTCTTCTGGGCTCAAAAAGCATCCTTTGAAGGCATTCTACAATTCTAACCCATTGAGTCGGAGGTAATATCTTTAATGAGACTGATACAAGGAAAGCTTTTAGAGGATGCCAAATTAAACAGAGATGTTTATTTTAAAGTATTCCTTACCTTTTCCAGCTCCATATCCTGGAATGGGAATTGTCCTACCACCTTTTTATATATCTCTTCACTTGTTACAGGTATAGGACTGTAGTTGTCAGAATCAAGTATGTTTCTATAAAGAAAATAAAGATGGAAGAAAGGAAGGAAGGAAGGAAGGGTGGGTTAATTGCTGTAGTGATCACGTAATTTTCAGGTGAACTCCAATGGTTGTACGTATATCACATTTCCAAGTCCCTATTCTATTGCTTCTATGATACAGCTATTTGGTTTCAGGTAACGGCATCTTTAAAAGAAGACAGAAAGAAAAATACACTCTGAAACAAATGGAACACAATTATAAACATGAGCTCATAGTATTTGAGATTTACAGATGACACAGAAAATTTCAAGGCAACAGGTTGAAGCCTTAAGGCAAGTGAGAGGAAAACAACAAAAGATGTGTGTTTTTTTAAAATAAGATATATTTGATTATGTTCTTTAATCCTGTACCAGATCTTCTATTCTAACCTTCAAAATTGGCAGATGAGGACAAGTACTTCTATAATAATCCAAATTACGTTCATTTCCTTCATCTACTGCTCTGCATTAATCATGAATTTTTTTTCATTCATAGGTTCTGGCTCCTTAACTAGATTGGAGCATCTTTAAAACGAGAAACCATACTACCAAAATCAAAACAGAAACTTGCTCAAGGCATCAGACGAGAAGCTTTTAAGACTGTGGATGTATCGTGTCACTAAATTTTAAGGTTCCTATAGATAATCCTCCACTACATTGTACCATTAGATAAACCTGGTTTTTAGAAATACAAATGTTTATATTAATATACAAATGAGTTGGCCAAGAGATTATCAGAGATATGTGAGGAGTAAGATTAAAGGAACAAGGTAAGATCTTAAAGCTGTAAGAATTGGAAAACAGGATAAGTTGATCTCGGGAAGGGGTCTTGCAGTGAGCAGGAAGATCGCTTTAAGCAAAGAAGTAAAGGTTCAAAAGGAGAAGAAACTCAGGTGAGTTGACACGGAGAATATGCCAGGAAAAGAGGCCAGGGAGACATTATGAGTGGGAGGTAACAGAATAGCTTTCTTCTTATTGTACACATGTTGCAAAAAGTATTTAAATAATATGCTTTAAATGTTAGATTGTAATAGGCCCCTTCTTTGTGTGTGGAGAAAAAAGAAGAATAGGAATCACGTGAATGAGTCTTCAAAGAAAGTTCCAGAAAAACCTAAATTATTCAAAAGGGATTAAAAGTCACTATCTTATATGTGAGCAGTAGAGTAGGCATGATCCTCACAAAACAAAAACAAAATCTAGAATAAGAATATACAAGATGATCTGGATGGTCTGAACCAAGGTATTTGACACTTATTAAAAGGAGCAAAAAAACCAAAATGGAATTTGGAGGCTCCCCACACAGCAGGTGCTAATACCCTGAGACTGAATATCCTGAGAACTTTATTTGGGACATCACTGCAATTTACCTGAATTCTGAATCATAACCTGGATCATAGCTAGAAAATATAAGCCACATATACTTGTTGCTTATTCCATCTAAAAAACCTTATGTATGAAACACGTGTGTGCACACATACTATAGATGATTTCTCACCTGAAAATACCTGCCCACTTCTTCAGCAGAGTTTCACTATACTGATCTCTGATTTCTAGCAGCATGTCAAAAAGCTGATTTACAGGAAAACCATACACCTGAAACAAAATAAGAAAACAGCTGCATTTTATAAGGTGATTTTTTTTAGCAACATGAGAGAGATTAGGCACTGAAAGATATTTTTGTTCTCTGGTCAACAATTTAAATGAAACCATGATAGGAGAATTTTTCATTCCCATCTAATATCTAGTGTTTTTCTCTCAAAAATTAAAAGATACATACCAAAATATCTAAGCCAGTCAGAAAAAAATTAAAAGAAGAAAATTCAAATGAATATATACTGAGTATATTGTCAGCTAAGTTCTCCAACAACCATCAGGAGGAGGGACAGAAATTGAAAATGCTGCCAATCTCACTTCTAATGCTAGTTTACTGGATATAACATGTGGTTCAAACCAATAATCATTATTCAAGATGGTAGTTAAGAATTTCCAGGGCCCAGCCCAGGGGCACAGCAGTTAAGTGCACACATTCTGCTTCTTGGCAGCCCGGGGTTCGCCAGTTCAGATCCTGGGTGCGGACATGGCACCGCTTGGCAAAAGCTATGCTGTGGTAGGCGTCCCACATATAAAGTAGAGGAAGATGGGTATGGATGTTAGCTCAGGGCCAGTCTTCCTCAACAAAAAGGAGAGGATTGGCAGTAGTTAGCTCAGGGCTAATCTTCCTCAAAAAAAAAAAAAGAATTTCCAAAATCACTCAGGCACCATATCTGAATTAAGGACCTTCTGAAAAACTAAGGTAGTGAGTGGTTCAATTAATTTATTTGCTCTGAGAAAAAAAGAGGATGGGAACTATTTATGAGTACATAAATGGTCAAGGTGTTGACCATGAAATGCTATAAAGAGAGAAAAAGAACTAGCTTAGGAAAAGAAGAAACACAACTAAAAACTTAGAGGTACTTATTCAAGCCTAGGCAGACAATGAAAAGATTGAGAGCTGCTGAAATACTAATCCGGATAAGTGCACATATGTAAACAGAAGCCACAAACCTGAAGTGTGTCAGCAAAAAGCACAATGAGGTTCTTCAAATCTAACACGAGGTTTGGATCAGAGCAATAAGACTAAAGGAAATAAAAGACAAAGAGGAAAAACATATTATTAAAAATAAAACTAAATTTTAATTTATTTGTTCAATGCTTCACCTGTTGAAGGCTCCCTAGAAAGGGTCCAACTCTTTCCTGGTTTAAGGTAACACCAGATTCAGCCAGGGAAGAGCTGAGTAGAGACTCCAATAAGCCATGATCTACATTGCTAACACTTGAAAATTTAAAAACACACTTCTAAATAACTCTTCAGTTAAAGAAGAAATCAAAGTTGATATTGCACATTATTTTTAAATGAACGGCAATGAAACACTTCATACAAAACCTATGGAATGTGGCTAAAACCATATTCAAAATAAATTTATATCTTTACAGGCAAACATTAGAAAACACAAAAAAGAGAAAATAAACAAACTAAGCACTCAACTCATGAAGCTATGCCAAAAAAGTCAAAATTAACCATAAGTAAGTGAGAGAACAAAACTGACAAAAAGTAGGAACTAACGGCATAGAGAACACATGGAAGATATAACCATTTAAACCAAAAGCTCAAATTAAAAATAAAATCAGTGGACAAATCTTAGGTAAGCCTGATTAAACAATAAACAGAAAACAAAACTAAATAATACAAAAAATACAAGAAAAAATAAATGTAAATACAGAGGAAAATAAAAATTACGAATGAAGTCCATGTACAAGCTCTTATCAACAAAGTAGAAAACTGAAATGACATGGAAGATAGCTTCCCTAGGCAAGATACAAAGATGCATATGTCACAATGAAAAAAGTTCAGTGATTGTGATATTCGAATTCTCTTAATTACAGTTTCATTCCGTGCGCTCTGCTTGATCTCTCCATTCCTGAAAGAGATGTGCTGAACTCTCCCAAAACAGTGCTGTTCATCAGCTTCTCTTCTTACTAACAGTTTTGTTTTCTGCATATTGCTGCTTCTTGTCCCCTGTAAAAAGGCTATTGCCTCTTGGGCGGGTTAAAACTAATTATCAATACAAAATGTTTCTCTCTTCTCCCATTTACTAGTCTTCAACTTCAATTCCATTTTCTTTGGAGGATATTGCCTTTCTGCTCCTTTGTTTATTTTCAATCTTTTTAAGTCTTGTGTGAGTATCTCTTAGCAACCAAACTATAAAACTTTCTCACTCTTTAACATTTCCTGTAACTATGACATATTTGGACTTATTCCACCCATCTCATTTTAAGTTTTTTTATTTACAATAAGTTATTCTTTCTTTTTTATTTCCTCTCATGTTTTTCATTGAATCAGTTCTTTTAATTATGGTATAGTGGTTATTAATAAGTTAAGTACTTTGTGCCCACTATTTACTTGAAATACTCTAGAGTTTTCATTAAAAAAACCTTTTAAACATTAATTCTCTCCTTTTGTATGAATTCCTAATAGTATCAAACTTTACAAATAATCAGTTATTTAGATATATTTATGAGCCTTACTCATTTTTTTGCACACAATTTATTTAACCCTACCCCATCTTATATTTTCAATTTCTTTTTCATTTTTTGTAGAACCCAATGAAACAAGACCAGTAAAGAGTAAACTCTGAATTCTTAAATGTTTGAAAACATCTTTCTTTTGCCCTCAAACTAAAATACAAAATTTCAGATGTGAGAAAATTGTCTCCCATCAATTTACCCTGCTTGACATTCAATGCAGCCTTTCACCCTTAAGAATCTAGTCTTCTTTCATCACAGGGAAATCTCCTTCTTTTATTTCTTTAATTATTAAAGTCCCCTCATAGTGATTGTCCTTTCTTTCTATTAGATACAACCAAAATCAAGGATCCATATTTCTCAACTTTCCTTTCATATTTTCCATCTCTTTGTGTCTTTGCTTCATATTTTTGGATCTATATTTGACTTTATCTTCTTGACAACAGAAATATGCAATTTTATCTATTTAATCTTTGAATTAAATTTCTCTATTCTATTTGAATTACATCTCTCTATCATAGATTTCCAAGAAAGCAATTGTTATCTTTGATTTCCACCCTTCTTTGGCTTGCTTGCATCCTTTTCCTCCTTCCTACATTTTTTTAAATTGTGAGTATCATATACATAAAGAAAAAAAATGAAGAAAATGTATATGTACAATTTTACCAGGCAAAAAGACTGAACAGCACCAGCATGCCAGAAGCTCCCAGAGGCTCTAATCACAACTCCTTTCCTTCCCACTGAAACAATATCATGACTTTTATGATAATCATTTCCATGTGTTTCCTGAGTTTTTTGTTTCTTTGTATTTTTTTTTTCCTAAGGATTGGCACCTGGGCTAACAACTGTTGCCAATCTTTTTTGTTGTTGTTGTTCTATCTCCCCAAACCCCCCTGTACACAGCTGTATATCTTAGTTGCATGTCCTTCTAGTTGTGGGATGTGGGACGCCGCCTCAACGTGGCCTGACGAGTGGTGCCATGTCTGCACCCAGGATCCTAACCCTGGGCCACCCCAGCGGAGCACGAGAACTTAACCTCTCAGCCACGGAGCCGGCCCTGTATTTTTTAACTTAATAGACTTTACTTTTTAGAGCAGTTTTGCATTTACAGATAAACTGAGCAGAAAGCACAAAGTTCCCATACTGTCCTTCACACATAAACTCATGCACACTTCCCCCTATTACAACATCTTGCATTAGTGTGGTACATTTGTTACAATTAATGACGCAATATTGACACATTATTACTAAATAAAGTCCATAGTTTACATTAGGGTTTACTCTTTATGCTGTATATTCTATGGGATTTAACATATGTACAATGCTATGTTCCACTGTGACAGCATCATAGAGAATAGTTTCACTGCCCTAAAAACCCCCTGCACTCCACCTGTTCATTCATAATTCCATCCCTCTCCTGAATCTTGGTAACACCTGATCTTTTTACTGTCTCCATAATTTTGCCTTTTCCCGAATGTCATATAGTTGGAATCATACAGCATGTAGCCTTCTCAGATTGGATTCTTTTACTTAGCAATGTGAATTTAAGCTTCTTCCATGTCTTTTTGTGGATTGATGGCTTCCTTCTTTTTACTGTTGAATAATATGCAAGTATATGGACGTACCTAAGTTTGTTTATCCGTTCACTTACTGAAGGACATCTTGGTTGCTTCCAAGTTTTGGCAATTATGAATAAGCTGCTACAAATATGCAAGTACAGGTTTTTGTGTTAACATAAGTTTTCAACTCATTTGAACAAATACCTAGAGTGTACCTGCTGGATCATACGACAAAACTATGTTTTGTTTTGTAAGAAATTGCCAAACCATCTTCTAAGCTGGCTGCACCATTTTCCATTCACATCAGCAATGAATGTGAGCTCCTGCTGCTCCATATTTCCTCTAGCTCAGGGCCAGGGCATTACCAGTGTTTCAGATTTTAGCCATTCTAATAGGTGTGTAGCGGCATTTCATTGTTGTTTTAATTCGCAATTTCCTCATGATACATCACGTGGAGAGTGTTTTTGTATGCTAACTTGCCATCGGTACATCTTTGGTAAAGTGTCTGTTAAGAACTTTTACCCACTTTTAAATTGGGTTGCTTGTTTTCTTATTGTTGAGTTTTAAAAGTTCTTTGTATCTTTTCGATACCAGTCCTTTATCAGATGCTTTTTCCAAATATTTTCTCCCAGTCTGTGGCTTGTCCGTTCATTCTCTTAATTTCACTGCTTTGTAATTGCGTAAATACTCAGCCTTACTCATTATTTTCTTTCTTGATATTGAATAAATGGAAATAAACTGTATGTATAATTTTCTGTTTTGCTTCAATCATTTAACATTATACTTGTGAAATTCATCTATGCTACTGTATATAGCTATAGTTTGGTCATTGTCATGCTGTACAGTATTCCATCTGATGAGTTCAACCCAGATTGGTCTTCCCTTTTTTTTTTTTTTTTTTTTTGCTGAGGAAGATTGGCCCTGAGCTAACATCTGTGCCCATCCTCCTCTACTTTATATGTGGGATGCCTGCCACAGCATGGCTTGATAAGTGGTGTGTAGGTCTGTGCCTGGGATCCGAACCCATGAACCCCAGGCCACCAAAGTGGAGCGCATGAACTTAACCACTATGCCACCAGGCCAGGCTCCAAGTTATTCATTTTTTTACTGATGGACATTTAAGTCATTTCTAATTTTGAAAATTCAACAATACTGGAATGAATATTCTTGCATGTATATTATGGTGTTTTAGGGCAAATTTCTCAAGGGAATATAGTTAGGAACAGAATTTCTGGTTCATGGGGGTCTTCAATTCTACAAGACAATGTCAAACTTTTTCGAAGGATTTTACGAATTTTAACTCATTCCCTTAGTAGTATATCAGAGCTCTGATTGCTTTATATCTTTATCAACGTTTGTATTGTCAATCCTTGCATAATATTACCTCATTTGGTTTTAATTTGCATTTCACTGATACACTAAGGTTGAGCACCTTTCACATGTTTCTCAACCACGTGGATTCCTTCTTCAGTGAAGTATCTGTTTAAATCTTTTGCTCATTCTTTCTATTGAGATGTCTGTCTTTATCATAATAATGTGTAGAAATTCTTTATATTCTATGCTAGCTCTTTGCTGATTTTATGTGTTGAAAATATCATTTCTCACTATGTGGCTTATTTTTTCCACTATCTTTTGATTTTTTTCTTACAGTTTTAATACAGTTTCTTACAGTTTTAACGTAGTTAATGTATATATCTTTTCCTTTATGGTTAGTGCTTTTTGTATTTTACTTAGGAACTCCTTCCATATCCTGCATCATAAAGATATTCTCTACTTAAAGATTTATGTTTTTACCTTTCACATTTTGATATTTTATCCACCTGAAACTCATTTTTTGGTATATTATTTTCCCCATACTGACAGTCAATTGTTCCAGTCTATTCATTGAAAAGTCTGTCCTCTACCCACCGACCTGGAATGCCATCTTTTTTATAAATATCAAGCATCTGTTTGGAGGTCCTTCATTCTGTTCCAATTATCTACCCAATGACAATT